AAAAAAAAAAAAGAAGTGCCTTGCTATGGACAAAACACTGCCCCCTTAGTGTTGTCCGACTTGACATGAACTGCTAACTTCCCCATGTTAACCCCCTAATCAGGGATACTGTCTCTGAGTTCTCTACAGCCATTTCAACAGATTAGCAATACCAGCGGAGGGGCAGTTGGTATCAGAAAAGGTTAAAGGAAGTTGTAAGGTGGGAACATGTCTGACTTTCACCTTGTAACAATCAGCTACGGGCTAGTGTGGAAGTGGATTCTCCTTCCCCGTGTAGCCAGAGGACTCAAATGTGGCCCCCATGCCATTTCCTCATACTTAGAACTACATATAAAAATATTTATGATTCTTGCAATATTTACTACAAATGAATGGACACACAACAAAACTAATTTTCTGAAAAGAGCTTTCAATATAAGTTAATGTTTTATGAAATGAAATAAGCAATTTCTAACAATTTTGTTTAAGGAGACATTCAAATGTAGTAAAACTCTATTTAGAAAGCTAAAGATTTATAAACACAAAATTCAGGAGAGGATGAGCCTCTGAATGGAAAGAGTATGCAAAGGAACCCAAGTTGGCTGCAACATTACTGATAATGCACGTAACGACACTTCATGGGGGTTGGGTTATTGTTACCCTGTCTGCATGTCTTCTACATAAATTATGCTTCCTGTCTTATGATTAAATATTATACATTAGTCTTTGACACATGGCCCTGAAAATAAAATACATGTAATTACCTCTTCTTAATATAAAGTTATGAGTCTTCTTTCGTTCATGACATTTTTGTTTTGTTATTCTCTTTTAAATCCCATTTTAAAATATGAAAAGCCAGTTTAGTATTATAACACATTCCCGTGGATTATATATTAATATACTACTGATCTGTTAACATCTAACATACATGAACTATGTCTGTTTACATCATATAGACTATGGCAAAACATTAAACAAGAATCATAGCTCACCTAAAGTAAGCCTATGGAGCAAGCAGCAACTGACTTCTTGAATTTGTTCATTACTAGGAAATGCCTTCATAGCTTCGACCACAATATTATAACACCTGATATTGCCACTCATGAGGACTTCAACATTGTTGCCTAAATTTAAGAAAAGCATAATTATCAACAGGGTAATAATTATTTCTCTCCATTTAACCTTTACATAACCACATCTTCTACAGATTGTAAACACATGGCAACATAATCGCTGTTTTCTCATTTTAAAGATCAAGTTTTGTCAAACTGATACCAAAAAAAAAGTCTATGTTGTTTCTTACGTATGTTAGGACTTGTCTTAACATTATATTCCCTAGCACATCATTTCCTACATAACTATTATTATTTTTGGTGGGGCTTAAATTTTTAAGAAAAATTCAGGTAAAATTCAGAGTGTAAGTCTAAAGATAGACTGCCTGCACTACAATTTTCAAATACGTGGGCCAGTATCCTAATAAGGAGCTATCCATTGGATAATGACTTTTATAGTGCTCTTTTTCCTTAAACTGGCAGAAGAAAAATCAAATCCATGTCACATATTAGGAAAATCTGCTATGGTCTATTTCCTATCCAGAAAGGCAATAGACAAGCAGTCAGAGTAGGAGGCAGCAGAATGAAATTCCCTGAAGGATCTGGGACTGACAGGGAGCAAAAAAAGAGGAGGAGGCGAGGGGAAATAGAAAAGGCATTAAGACTAAACTATGTGAATAAGCGACAAACACATGGAGAAAGGAGAGAAAAGCATGCACGGGTTATAAGGAATACAGAGAATGAACCCATATGGAGAAAACTTATTTAAAATTCTGAAAAAAGCATTGAATATTATTTTTTTAATCTATAAAACCTTTTGTTCTTTCTTCTTCAATGTAGCCAAACCTAACAATTGATTTACCTAAAATATACTTATTTGTAATATCTAGGTTATATAAGGATACATTAATTATAATTTCAAGGTTGTAATAATAAAAAGAAATGGCCGTTCAAAACAATCACCTGCTTTTATTCAGAATACAAAAAACATAAGCTCACTGCCATCAAATCGATGACAATTCATAGGACCCTACAGGGCAGAGTAGTTTCTAAGATAGCAATTCTTTACAAAAGTAGAAAGAGCCGTCTTTCTCCTACTGAGCGACTAATGGTTTGCAACTGCTGACCTTGCAGTTAGCAGCCCAATGTGCAACCACTTTGCTCCGAGAGCTCATTTTATTCAGAGTAGCCAGCAGGGTTTTCTTTAAGAGCAAAATGCAAAGTTTTTGTGTTTTTTCCCCCCATCATAATCAATGTTTAAAGCTTTTGACTTCTTGTTTTTAGCTGTCACTTTCTTTGACCTTTACATTCTGAACCAACACATTTCAATTGCAGTGATGTCAGATGTGAGTGGGAAACAATGAATTCCAAAAAACAGCCAACCAAAAATAAATAAAGAACTATCGCCAAAGGAAAGTAAACTGAAGACTATATTCAGGCTGTTGGCACGGGATTACTCAGAGAAATTTAAAAGAATACCCATGCTCTATTATAGTCCACTTCCACCTACTTTCAATGTTTAATTTCCTGTGGATATGAAAACATTGCATTTTATAAAGATTACAAAGTAAGGACATTTTTTGATAAGGGTTGTGGATTTTTGCACTGTTTCACTGAAATGTTTCCGATTCCCATAAAACTTATAATGAAGTTACATAAATGAATATCCTATATAATATATATTATATACTATATGTGTACTAACAACATCTTATGTCACAAAACTGTTGTGGATCAAATAGCATCTCCGTGAAATCATGATCTTTTAAGTTTTAAGCAGCATTAGGTGGGAAGTTGATGGTAATTCAGAATCAGGGTTTTGAAGATAGAATGAAGTTAAGATGAGGTCATACTGGACTAGGGTGGGACCAAATGAGACATTATCAGTGTCCATGTAGGAAGCAAGGGGCAGACATAGATGCTAGAAGGAGATATAGCCTTGTGAAGATGGAGGCAGAGATTGGAGTGATGATGGTGCAAGTCAAAGAAGGCCAAGAATTGTTGGCAACTACCAATGGCTAGAAAAGGCAAGAAAAGATTCTACCTTACAGGCTTCAGAGAAAACAAGGTCCTAAGGTCCTCTAGCTTACAGGGATGTGGGGAAATAAAATTTTGTTATCTTCAGACACCAGATTCATGATAGCTTTGGTACAGCAGCCTTAGGAAACTAATACACTATTAAGAGTCAAAGATCACATATTGCATTTTAAGTACTGTACTTCAAATTATTTACTCCTTAATCCTTACAACAACTTCACAGATGTGAGGATTAAACATGTTAGTGTTTTTGTTAAGTGCCATTGAGCAGACTCTGAATCATGGTGACCCTGTCTGGGTAGAACTGCTTCATAAATTTTTGAAGATTGTGAAGGCAGATTGCCAGAACTGTCTCCCAAGGCACTTCTAGGAAAGTTTGAACCATCCACCATTTAGCTATTAGTCAAGCACTTTCCAGTACACTACCTATGGGCTCCAAGTAGAAAACAATTATTAGATGACTCATATGGATATTATGTACAAGCCTCAAATAGGTAATGTGTGCAATACCAAATGTTAATGTATTCTTTAAAAAGAAGCAGAATCTGAAGCATTCTTTGAGTCCATTAACAATGACTTAGAGCATACATAAGAAGTCATGGTGGCACAGTGGGGTAAGTGCTGGGTTGTCAACTTCGAGGTTGACAGTTCAAATCTATAAGGTGCTCTCAGGGAGAAAGATGAGGCTAACTGCTCTTGTAAAGAGTTATAGTCCGAGAAACCCAAAGAGGCACTTCCATTGTGTCCGATAGAATTATTAAGAGTCAAAAGTGACCCTTTCGCAGTGTGAAGTGGATGGGTGGCAAATAGAATATTTTTTAGTATTTTTGTATAATCAAACCTGTGAATGCCAGAGTCTGCATACACCATAAATCTATCAGAAAGGAAAACTTAAATCATTTACCCTAATAGAGAGCTATAGAAAGAAGGTAGTAAGACTACACCCTGCCAAAGGAAAATCTCGCTATACCCAGAAAACAAGGCAGTCCCACTGAGTTCCTGCTATCACAGGCTTCATTGTCCTCTCTTGGTGGGAAAGCAGGTAGATTTCAAGGGATCACCAAAATGCTATGTGACTATCACAAGAAAGTTGAAATCCTACATGTGGCCTTTCAGGACCTATACAATGGCCAAGGAAGGCCTGCTACTGGAGGTGTAATGCCATTAACACTGCTTCACGAGAGGTGTTGAAGACCGCCCCCCGTCCATGATGGCTAGCACATGGAATCCAGGGAACTGCCAAAACCTTAGCCAGGCACGAAGCCTGTCTTTGTGTGCTTGCACCAACTGTGATGAGCCTATAGATGTCAAGGTAGTGGAGGCCTTTTGTGCTAAACACCAAGTCAATCTAATTCAGCTTGATAACAACCAGAAACCAAGGGAGTGGGGCAGACCTCTGCACAATTGACAGAGAAAGAAAACTGCGGTTGCGTGGTCATTAGGACTGTGGCAAAGAATCTCAAGCTAAGGATGTCATCAAAGAATATTTCAAATGCAGAAAATGAGCAAATAAAACTTGGTTCTAATTATTGGGCAGGGGGAAGATATTTAAGAACAGGTTTAAAAAGAAATATATTCTAGTTTACTTATACAAAGGAGATCATAGGAGAGGGCTTCACAAAGTTGTGGGGAAAACTCCATGATCTCTTAATGCCATTATTCCCCAAGCATTCTGAAGCCCCGCTGAACATGTGAGCTACTTACAAGGAACTGCTAGAGAATGTAAGCAGTGAAGGACATTAAATACAATTTCTTCTTCGTCTTTAAAATTTTTCAAAGCATCCAGTAATATCATATAATCTTTGTTCTCAATAAATTCAGTTAGTTGCTCTTCTGAAACTAAAAGTGGAATAACAAATATTGATTAACTTTAAAATTTTTATGAATTTTGATTATTCACAAATATAGTATTTATGATCACTGTAAGACAGAAATTTCAATACACATACATATGTCATCAAGTTATTTCATACTCACAGCTACCCACAGGAGAGAGTAACTGTCCCACAAGATTTCATGGCTCTAACAGTTCACCAGGTCATTCTTCCTCATCCTCAGAGCAACATGGGGTTTGAACTTCCAAAATCGTGGTGAGTAGCTGAGCACTTAACCATTGTACTACAAGACTCCTTTTGACCCAAATTAATCACCCAAATACTTTAAAATGCAAAAATGTTAGTCACCAAAAGGAGAGGGGATGCAAGGGATGTCAAGGAGCCCAGACAGAAAAATAATGCTTAAAAAATGGTTTAATTAAAAACAAATAAATAAAAAGAAAAACAATGTTTCAAAACTGATGGTGGTGGCAATCGTACAATTCTCCTTGGCATGAATGAACTATGAAATGATATGAAATATATATATATTAAATTGAGCAAAAAGAGAGAACATCAAAATTATTTACAACTTGATTTGGGAGATTCTAGAGAAAACTGAACAGTCAATAAAAATGTTACAGACCAAAAGTAAACAAATTGTAATAATGAAATAAAAAAAAAAACAGAAGCCAAACCTACTTCCATCAAGCTAATTCCAACTCATAGCGACCCTATAGAAAGTTCCCCAGATTATAAATATGTATGAGACCAGACAGCATCATCTTTCTCCAGCATAGTAGCTGGAAGGTTTGAACTGCTCATCTTAAGATTAGCAGCCCAATATCTACCCAAGAGTATCAACATGTGGCTGTTATAATAGTTAAAAGGGAGGAATTGATTAGTAAACAACTTTGCTAACTGGAAAGTATCCATTCAAAAGACATGAACTTCAGCAAATGACAAGAAATCAGACTAAGTATTCTGTTATTCATGATTTCCTTTAAATATAGAAAAATTTGGTAATTCTCCTAAGCCTTTTTTTCAAAGCAATGAATTCTACTTGGAGTAATTTTAATAATTGGAAACTTCAAAAGCAAGATATTAAATCTGGTTTATCTTGTCTGAGAAGGGCATTAACAAAAATGTTGGAAATGCAGTGCATTTTGTTATTTTCTGAAATTTCATGATAATTTTTCCATAGAATATAGCATAAAATGTGGTGGGGGAGGGAGGGGATTTTGGAGAGCTGATATCAAGGAGTGCAAGAAGAAAGAAAATGTTTTGAAACTGCTTGTGGTAGCAATTGTACAATACTGCTCGAAGTGATTGAACTATGGAAAGTTATGATATCTGTAAAATCTCCCAATAAAATGCTTAAAATAAATAAATAAATGAGGGATCTCATGAAATTTTCTTTTATGGAACAATTTTCACAAGCACACTTTCAAATTTAAAAGAATTAACTTTCACAGTTGCCACTGAAAATTGGGTACATTGCTTCTCCAGGGGAAATCAGAATGGTTTCCACTCTCTATTATAATATTCCAAGCACTGCATAAGTTTTTCTTTAATACGATTTCTTTTTACATTCTTGTGGGCCATCGCCACAAGTCCTAGTCCAGTGGTTCTCAACCTGTGGGTCGTGACCCCTTTTGGGGTGGAACGACCCTTTCACAGGGGTCGCCTGATTCATAACAGCAGCAAAATGACAGTGATGAAGTAACAATGAAAACAATTTTATGGTTGGGGGGGGGTCACCACAATGTGAGGAACTGTATTAAAGGGTCACAGCATTAGGAAGGTTGAGAACCACTGAACTAGAGTGTCCCCACAATGCTGGTGACAAAGTGATGTCAGCCCTTCCTCTGCAAATATGAATTTTCCCTGCACTGCCACCCAGCAGATCAGTCCTCTATGTCCTGCCAGAACATGGAGAGTCGAGTTCTATTTGGAGCTTATCAAAAGTGTTATTGTACGAAGTAGCATTGCTAGAAGATAGCCCCAAGGACACGCAGCCGTCCGTTTCTTTCCCATGGGAAACTCCTTTTCTTTATTTTATTTTTTATTTTTATTTATTTATTTAATTTTTTATTTATTTATTTTTTTTGTTTTTTGTTTTTTTAACATTGTATTAGGGGCTCATACAACTGTTATCCCAATCCATACACACATCACTTGTGTAAAGCGCATTTGTACATCGTTTCTCACAACATTTTCTCCTTTTCATTGAGCCTGAGAGCTGGGGACCAGGTCCACACTGTTGTGACTCTTCCCAGAACTGCTTTAACTGAAGCGCACTTTGAATTCCTTGGAAGATATGTTTATTTCATCCTCTCATCTAGAGAAACACATGGAAGTATTTTCTGAAGTCTCCCATGAGACCAGTTGCCTTAATGGGTTTCTTTTTATCTCACAGAACTCTAATCAATAATTGTTTCCCTCTTTATCTGGCATAATACTCCAATTCCTGGTGCACCCCTTTGCAAATACATAGACTTTAGGTAGCAAATTTAACCTAGCTTCATATTAGTCCCCCTCCCCTCAATTCCTCATTCATCTTTTCCTTACTAGACTTCTCTCTACGCTGTCAAAGGTTGTGAGCTCAACCACTAGCTCTACAGGAAAAAGACCTCATGATCTGTTCCCATAAAGATTATAGCCTATGATTATAACATATAAGGATTTGAATTGTTTAGGCAGTGTTTACTCTGTCACATTTCTATGAATGGAATTGATTTGAGGGCACCTACTCACAATAACATAAACCGTTTTAAGTCTTTCTTGAATAGGACAGAGATGGAAACATCATTGGGTGATCTATCCTATTACTTAAAATGCCAACGACCACAGAGATGGCAGAGTTTTCCCTGTTGAGCATAAGGTCATCATGAAACTAAGATGATTCAAATGCAACTAACAAGAACGACATCCCATTCCTGACTCTGCTACAAACTAAAGTAGTAGCTATTGCAGACTCATGGGCCCCATAAGTAAGTCATTCTTTTTTTTGTTTAGATAATTTTATTGGGAGCTCTTACAACTCTTGTTACAATCCATACACCAATTATATCCAACATATTAGTACATATATTGCCATCATTCTTTTCTAGACATTTGCTTTCTATTGAGCCCTTGAGGCCAGCTCCTCTTTTTCTCCCCTCCCTCTTCCCCACTCTCATGGCCCCTTGATAGATTATACATTGCTATTATTTTCATATCTCACCCCAACGACTGTCTCCCTTCCCCTCTGGTTTCTGTTGTTCTTCCCCCTGGATGGGGGGGTGTGGTTAGTTATGTGCCATTCATTGTGATCAGTACCCCCTTCCTCCCCACCTATTCATCCCTTCCATCCCTTGGTATCACTATTCCCATTCCTGTTCCTGGGTTCCGTGTGTCGTGAGCTTTATCTCTTGCCTGTACCTATGTACGTGCTCCTGTCCAGTCCAGAGTGGGAAGCAGCACTGGGGTCATGATAGTGGGGGATGGGGAAGCCTTAGGGATCAGAGGAATATTGCATGATTCATTGGTGCTCAAATGCACCCTGATTGACTCATCCCCCCACTGCGAAGTCATTCTTATCCTAAGCACAATTAGCTCATACAATGACGCAAAAAGGGTTCACAGTGGTGACTGAACTGCACTATAACTAGCTGTGTACCCTTGGGCAAGTTGCTCCTTGCACCTCACTAAGCCTCCACTTCCTCATCAAGCCACAAGGGAAACAAAGCTTCCAACCAACTGACAATTACAGAGCCTTCAGCAATTTCTAAAATCCCTGATGATGACTCAACACCATAAAACCAAATTTAACCTGTGCTATGCATCACAGTTTTCTTTTTGCTTTCTTACCTCCCACATATCTAATTTTCAAAATGAACCTCTGCCTTGTCAAGCAATAGAAGAAAATCTAGTACAACAGCATGATTTATAAGTCATGAATGAAAGTCTCCCTACAAAAGCACATAATATTTCTGATTTTACCCCATTAAGTACCTTTGACCGACAGCTCCATTTTTAATAAATGGTACAATTTAAAATAACTTTTCATTACGAGAATTGTAGTTTGCTTTTGCTTTTCAGTTCTTTACTCTTGTATCTGCATGCAAAATAAAGAATTCCACAGTTTTAAATACCTCTCTCGAAGAGCACATGTAAAGCTTTGCATCCAAGCTTTTGGACTTCATCATTGGCTGGAAATGTGCGCATGGCATCAAAAATCAGCAAGAAAATATCACTCTCTTCATCCAATATCAGCAAAGTTATTTTACCTAAGAGAACATAACCCATAAGTAAACAACTGTTTTAACATTTAACGTGTTGATTTTTTACATGCAGAGTATGAATGGTTTGTAATTTTCTTTATCATAAGCCACTTAATCACCCCCAGATGTTAAGCTTATCAAGCTAGCAATCTTTCTGAATGAGCTAAATTTCCAATTCATTTTACTATGATTCCAAATCAACCTCACTGCCCTCATTCTCTTGCCCTAAATTCCAGAAACGTATTTTGCTCTGCCTCTTAAGCAATACCATCTGACTGTCCATTCCATGGGCATCCTAAACCTATCCTACTCTAGTTCTTAGTCAATGGTCAACCAAAACAAAAACAACATCACCATTGAGGTGATTCTGACTCAAAGCAACCCTGTAAGAGCACAGTAGAACTGTGCCTTTGGGTTTCTGAGACTGTAAACCTTTATGGTAAAATCCTCATCTTTCTCTTTCAATGCTGCTGGTGGGTTTGAATGGCTGATTTTGTAGTCAACAGCCCAACACCTATTTCACTATGATACCAGGGTTCCTTTAGTCGATGATCTAACTCAAAAATTCCCTGCCATCATGTCAGTTCCAACTCATAGTGACCACATAGGACAAGGTAGACCTGCTCCTGTGGGTTTCAAAGACGGTAACCCTTGACATGAAGAGAAAGCCTCATCTTTCTTTCAATGCTTCCAGTGGGTTTGCAATCCTGACCTGGTGGTTAGCAGCAGAACTTGTAACCCATTATGACATCAAGACCTATTTACTCAATGAAAGCATCGTCAACATCAAAACAGTTATCCAATAGAGGAACTACTGGGTCATCTTCCATCTTTCCTCGCATTACTTTCTGTCCAACAAATAAATAAATTCACAATGAAGTCTTTTAAGTCTATCATCTAAATGGTTCAAAAATTTCCTTTTCAGGTCCCTGTATTCCCATAGGATTCAGATCCTCATCATTCATACCTGGAATGCACTTACTGCTACACTTAGCCCAAATGTCTACCTAACTAGTTCATTCCCTGCACTGTATTTCTAAAACACAAATGTAATCCTACAACTCTAATCCTTAAATTGTCTTAGCTTTTCTCAGATTAGTAAGTCTGACAAACAATACCCTTCGTAAACTGACTACACATGTTTTATCAACCTCGTATCCTTCGTGATTGCTTTAACTCCAATCAAAGTAAACTCAGAGCTCATCACTAAACACATTCTTGGGATATCTCTTTGCATGTCCACTAGCTCTCTCCTCTACCTTGAATGCCCTTGCCTTTTGTATACCAAACCCCAAAGTTCTCTGTCATCAAGTTGATTCCAACTTACCATGACCCTGTACTACCGAGCAGAACTGCCCCCTTTGACCTTCCAAGACTTTAAGTCGTTATGGGCGGAGAATCTCATCTTTCTGGGACATGAGTTAGTAATCTCTATACATACCCCACCATGCTATCCACCAAAGATACAATAATTCAAGAACTAGTGCAAATTTCGCCTATTCTAGCACTAAAAACAATACTACCAAAATAGGAGTGGTAGTACTAGCAAACCTCTTTATAGCACATAACATGTGCCAGACATAGTTTGAAGCACTTCACGGTGATGTATTTAATCCTCGTCACTTTAGAGTTAAGACAACAGAGAGCAGAAAAGTTAAACAAGCCAAAGAGTTAAATAAACAATAAAAGGAAAAATTATAATTTAGGCAGTTCATGTCTATACACAAATCTATAGGTAAATTTAGCTGCTCTTTCCTCTATCTTCCTATAATGACCTTCTTCATATTCATATTACAATAGATTTTTTCACAAAAGTACAAGCATTTCTTTAATTAAAATAACTACCTATGCATCCAATTCATTGGTTGCAAGTCACATGAAGCTATTGAAATTTAATTGTCAATTACTAACATGAAAATTCAGTTCCTCACTCCATTAGTCACATTTCAAATGTTCAATAGCTATAGGGATTGTACAGCACAGATAAACAACATTTACATCATTACCAAAAGTTACATTGAACAGTGACTATGCAATTTTATATTGTAGTAATGTTACCTCATATGTTTTAGAATTCTCTAGTATCCAGAAAAATATTGAGTCCAATAACTATTAAAAACTCAAAACTCACTGCCACTGAGTTGATGCCAACTGATAGAGACCTATGGGATACGGCAGAACTGCCCCTGAGTTTCTGAAACTGACTCTTCACAGAAGTGGAAAGTCCTGTTTCCTTAGAGTAGTTTCAAACAGCTGACCTTGTGCATCTCAGCCTACGCTTAACCACTACACCACCAGGGTTCCAACTAAGTCAATGATTAAGCCAGAAAATAAAAATCATCCATAAACAACCACCAATGATTACCTGAGATGAACTTTAAAATGCATTAAACACTTCCATATTGGCTCAAATTCTGAATGATATATTGGAGAAATTAAAACATCTTTTCAAAACATATGCCAAATTTCTTGTCTGCTCGCTGCTGACTTCAAGAGATTCCAGAATTCAATGCATTCCAAATTCACAAAACGCACATATTCCCATTCATTACTGAATGAGGAATGCACCAGAAGTGAGAGAAAAAGAAAGGCCCTCAAGAATAAGTTAAAATGAATTCTGGTTGAGACTAGTTACTACAGACCATTAAGTATTTTAATAAGAGGCAGTAATGAAATTCCCCTCTGTGGTAGTTACATAATTGCATGTCAACTTGAAGCTATGTAAAAAATGTAGGGGTGGTATTCAACCTGCCAATCAGGTCGCAGCCTGATGGTGCCTCCTTGTGGGCGTGGCCTTCTCATAAGAAGGTTCCTGGGAACCTCCCCCTCGCCCCTGGTCTTCACCTTCCTTCTGTCCAGTCACTCCAAGAGCTCCCACAGCCACTGCCTTTGGATTCACAAGACTTTGCATCCACTGGCCTATGCTATTCCTGCATTCTGCATCATTGCATGTGACTACCATGGACTCGTATCAGACTTGAGTTGGAGGACTGGGCTGGGATGTTTACTTGATATATAATTACTTTTTGATATAAAGCTTCCTCTTACACATATACGAGTGTCACAAATTTGTTTCTCTAGGCAACCTGGCCTAACACACCTTCTTTAACCCTTTCCTTTTCTCTTATAGTCTTTTTCAGAACCAATGGGAGCATTCAAACCTTGCCACCCATATGCCCAGCCTCTGCTATGCTATCTTTCCAGGTCTCTTCAATTCTATACATGCCATTCCCTCAACCTACCATGCCCTTCTCCATTTTTGGAGGAAACCCCTTTTTATCCTTCAAGATTAGCCTTCTTGTGAGAAGCCTTTGTTCTCAGAAACACATGACAGCAAGTGTCTGTCATAGCGCAATAATCACAATTATTGCACCATGCCTAGATTCTCTGTTTTCAGGCCCATTATCTTCCAGGTTGATGTCGCCTCAAAGAAAAATACTGACATTGGGAATCAGGGCCTCGTCCCACCACATACTGGCTGAGGCAACCTCACTGTGCACCAGCGTCACTCAAGAAGAGAACAGAGGTTTAATAAAACCTATCTTAAGGGGTGTTTCTAAGATTCAAAAACAACCACCCACCCTCATAGGAGCAATTCGGATTCATCGATACCCTATAGAAAAGAAAAAACAATTCACTCCCATCGAGTCCATTCTAACTCGTAGTGACCCTAAACAACGGAGTGAAACTGCTCCTTGGGGTTTCTTCCCGAGAGCAGAGGATCTCCGCTCTCTCCTGCAAAGCAGATGGTGGGTTTAAACGCCCAACACTGTCAAGAGCAGCCCAATACTCAGCCCACTGCACCCAAGCCTGCCTTCCTTTTGGAGATTAGGTTTTAACTCCACGGAACCACATGAACCATTCTACTGTGACTCACAAATACTAAGAACTCAAGAAGAGATGATACATACTTTCAAAGCATTACTATTATATCATGTCCTGGGAAATACAGAACACCTTATATAGAAGTATGTATAATACAATCTATAATAGTGATAGGACATGCACGATCAACAAGCTAGTGAGAATGTGGGATGTGAGAGCAGATTTGAGGAAAGCAGATGAGGCTAGAAATACAGATTTGGGAGCTATGTTTAACGCCAAGATATTGTATAGCATTTCTGAGACAAAAAGCATACAGATAAAATATAAGGAGAAAAATTACAAACAAAAATGTCCAGAAATCATTAACTTTTAGATTCCATTATGGTATGATCAAGAGCCCCGGTGGACTAGTTCAAACCAACCAGATGGTCCATGAGAGAAAGATGTGGCAATCTGCTTTAGGAGAATAAATCGTATAATAGAAAACTGATTTTCTCCATAAGAGATCCCCCAACTCACAATGAAAGTTTTCTTTAAAAAGATGCAGAGCCGTGGAAATCCTGTGAGGTGGTTCTACTCTATCCCATAGTGTTGCTATAAGTCAGAATTGACTGAAATTCAATTCCAGGGACAATGGAATTGGGTTTGGATGCCATGATATTTGAGAATATTCAAACACAGTTTAAATGATTTCACTTTTTAACGTTGAGTAAATATTAGAAACTACAGTGTATATGTGGTTTTTTACCTGACGTAAGGAGAAGATCTAAGGCCTTCAGTCCAACTGTTGACAGGTTTACATTGGCGTTGTGAACAGTTAACATTTTAAGAATCAGTCTATAATTAAAAACAGAAATAGAAATAAAGTATCATACTCAGAGGTTTCCTTATTTAAATTTTCTCATATTTTTTAGTATTATTACATTTAATGATCGTGAAGTTCATGATTTATTTTGGCCCCTCAAACCTGAGTCAGGCTTATGAAAATTAAGAGAATCATTATGAGTCTCAATAAAAGTTTTAATTTCAGTTAACTTTCCCCTTCATTTCCAAGATCAATTATTAAACAGTCTAACAATTTGTTCAAAATATTAAAGCAACCAAGCTCACTCTTATGTGCTATAACTCATAAATAATCTTATGCATGTTGATGTATTAAAATACAGAGAGAGGGTGGAGAGAAAGTGGGATAGAAAGGGGGAACTGATTACAAAGATCTACATATAACCTCCTCTCTGGGGGACGGACAGCAGAAAAGTGGGTGAAGGGAGACGTCAGACAGGGTAAGACATGACAAAATAATAATAATTTATAAATTATCAAGGATTCATGAGGGAGGGGGAAGAAGGGAGGGAGGGGGGAAATGAGGAGCTGATACCAAGGGATCAAATAGAAAGTATACGTAGAGGAACGATGATGGCAACAAATGTACAAATATGCTTGACACAATGGATGGATGGATGGATTGTGATAAGAGTTGTACGAGCCCCCAATAAAATGATTTAAAATAAAATACAGATAGGAAACATCCGAAGGCATCCAGAGCTTCACTTAGCTTCAAGACACTTGTTGCATGGCTCCCATTTGGACAGGAGTGCACTAAGTGATCCCTTCTTGGTTGCTCTCATTAGTCTTAGGTGGTAGCCAGTCACTTGTGACTCACGGAGACCCTATCTACAACAGAACTAAGCACAGCTGGTCCTGTGCCATGTTTACAGTTGGTTTATATTTGAGCCCATTGTTGCAGCCACTGTGTTGATCTATTTCGCCAAGTGCCATCATCTGTTTTGATGCCCTTCTACCTTACCAAGTATGTATGGTCCAGGGACTGCTCTCTCCTAACAACACGTCCATAGTATGTGATACGGAGTCTCGCCATCTCTGTCTCTAGGGGGAATTCTGGCGATCCTCCTTCCAAGACAGAGTTGTTGTTCAGCTGGCAGTCCATGGTATCTTCAACATTCTTCACCAGCACTGTACTTCAAATTCTTGAGCCTTCTCTATTAAATTTTCAACTTTCATATGTATATGAGGCAACTGAAAATATCATGGCTTGGGTCAGGCACACTGTAGTCCTCAAAGTAACATCCTAGCTTTTCCACACTTTAAAGAAGCTTTGTGTAGCAGATATATGCAGTGTAATGTATTATTTGACGCTGCTTCCATGAACATTGATTGCAGATCCCAAGCAAGACAAAATCCTTGACAACTTCCATGTTTTCTCTATTTATCATGAAGTTACCTATTGGCCCAGTTATAAGGAATTTTGTTTGCTTTACATTGAGTTATAATCCATACTGATGGTTGCAATCAGACCTATATTTTCATCAGCAAGTGTTTGAAGTCCTCCTCACTGTCAGCAAGCAAGATTGTGTCATCTACATATTGTAGGTTGTTTGTAAGCCTTTCTCCCATCTTGATGCTGCGTTCTTCTTCCTATACTAATCCAACTTCTCTGATGATTTGCTCAGCATACAGATTGATTAAGTAATCAAGTAAGTAATTAATCAAATAATCAGGTAATTAAGTAAGTAACCAATTAACTATGCAATCATACAGACTGATTAAGATGGTAAGAGGATACAACCCTGATGCATACATTTCCTGATTTTAAATTATGCAATATTCCCCCACCACCACCACCCTTGTTTCTTTTGCCCCACTGGTCCCTGATCCTTGTACAGGTTTCACATGAGCACAATTAGGTATTCTAGAAATTCCATTCTTCTCAAAGCTATCCATAATTTGTTATGATCCATACAGTTGAATGCTTTGGTGTACTCCATAAGACAAGTAAACATCTTTCTGGTATTCTTTGCTTTCAGCCAAAATCCATCTGACATCGGCATCTCTTGGTCCACGTCCTATTCTGAGTACAGCATGAACCTATGCAAGATACCTGTCAATGTACTGCTGCAGCTTTTGTTGGATGATCTTCAACAAAAATTTACTTGCATGTGATATAAGTGATATTGTTCTATAATTTGTGCCTTCTTTTGGAACACCTTTCTTTGGAATGGGTACAAATATGGATCGCTTCCAGTCAGCTGTCCAAATAGTTGTCTTCCAAGTTTCCTGGGATAAACTAGTGAGTGCTTCCAGTGCTTCGTCGGCTTGTTGAAACATTTCTATTGATATTCCATCAAGTCCAGGAACCTTGTTCTTAGCTAATTCTTTCAGAGCAGGTTGAACTTTTTGGAGTAACACTAGTTCTTGCTCATGAACCACCTCTTGAAATGGTTAAATATCAACTTGTTTTTTTGGTACTCAGTGTATTCTTCCCATCTTCTTTGAACGCTTCTGCTTCATTCACTCGTGGGTCCATAGACTCTTTTAATATTGCCGCTCGAAGTTTGAGAGTGCGGAATGGAGACCCAAAGCCCAGCAGTAGGCCACTGAAGATCCCCTTGCAGAGGGGTTTGGGGAGGAGACGACCCAGTCAGGGTGCGATGTAACAATGATGAAAAATACAACTTTCCTCTAGTTCCTAAATGTTTCCTCCCCGCTCCCACTACTATGACTCGAATTTGACCTTGCAAGTCTGGCTAGACCAGAGGATGTACACTGGTACAGACAGGAATTGAAAAATACAGGGAATCCAGGGCGGATGATCCCTACAGGGCCAGTGGTGTGAGTGGCGAAACAGGGAGGGTAGAGGGAGAATGGGTAGGAAAGAGGGAACCAATTACAAGGAATACTATATGTGACCTCCTCCCTGGGGGACAGACTACTGAAAAGTAGGTGAAGGGAGACGTCGGACAGGGCAAGATATGACAAAATACCAATTTATAAACTATCAAGGGCTCATTAGGGAGGGGGGAGCGGGGAGGGAGGGGAAAAATGAGGACCTAATGTCGGGGATTTAAGTGGAGAGAAAATGTTTTGAGAATGATGTACAAATGTGCTTTACACAATTGATGTGTGTATGGATTGCGATAACAGTTGTATGAGCCCCTAATAAAATGTTTTAAAAGAAAAGATATGCTTAGCGTGTTCTTTTTCTTGGTTTTCTAACTCTAGCCCTTGTGCATTTCATGATAATATTTTACTTTGTCTTCTGGCATTTTCTCTTCAGGTCATCATTTCTTCCATGGGTCTTGTACTAGCCAGTGTTACACGTGTTACAGAGCAGAACTGCGCCAGAGAGCTAGCTTCCTTGATGGTAACCTTTATGGAAGTGAACGGCCAGGCCTTTGTGCTACTGTGCCACCTGATGGGTTCGCACTGTCCGTGCTTGACCACTGCCCCACGAGGGCTCCTGTGTGGCTAGAAGTCAAATTTCAACCCTGTGAGCCACGCTGGAGACTCTTGCAAAACAAAGTCCCTCTGTACCAGGTTTTTCTCTCTTCTGGCATAAAGGCATAACAAATACTTTGATGAAGAAAGGATGTATGAATGAGTAAGTACATGAGTAACTAACTTAATGACTCTATTTGAAGAAATGTGTATGCCATTGACTTTGTAGCATTCTTTGTTCTAACACATGACTAGGGGAGTTTTACACTCCCTGGGGTTACAGATTGGCTAAGTGTTGGGGCTTCTTCGAAATGCTCAGCAAGGCATATTTAAGCTACAATGACAAATTATAGATGTGAGTTACATAAACTTTTTTATTCAGTGCTATATTCTTTAAAACTGACTCAGAATTTCAAGAATGACTTTGGTAATGAGAACACAAGTTCATTGTAAATATACTTCTTCTCAATATACAATCTTTGGTATGTATTGAAAACTGAACAATGTCAGCCTTGATATATATCAAAGGAGTCAAAGTATACACACACAGATATGTTTACTTATAAACAGACTCGTGGCTATAACTTGTCAACAATAAAGTTTAAAATTCAGCTTTGTATATAGTATATGCATGTAGCGCTGCTGGCGTTATGGGGTACGCATTGGGCTGCCAACCACAGGCTGATAGTTCAAAACCAACCAGCTATTCCTCAGGAGAAAGATGAGACTCCTCCGTAAAGAGTTACAGACTCCCTCTGAGTCGGAACTGACTTGATGGCAGTGCGGTTTTAGTCAATACAGTATGTATACTTCACAAGCAAATACATTTGGAAGCAACATAAATTCACAGTTTCCTTCACTGTGGTAGATGAAAGCCCCGATATGTATAAAAAACATAAATTTTAAGACATATTTTAAAATATTAAAAAGCTGACTGTAACAAGGATTTTCTCTGAAATACATTTTTGTTCAGAATTTGCTTTTTCTTAATCAGTTGTGGATAAGGAAATGGTGTCATTTAGAAGTTATTGTGCTGCAAACCACAAAAACATAGCTGGTTAAAGAACTATCAAGATTTCAGTGCAGATGTGCCGATAGGTAATTTCCTTTTTTTTCTTCTCTTTGAAAGCTGTCGTTTAACTCTCTAAATATATATGTATGAATGTACATAAATGTACTATTTAAAAGTTGTAAATCATAAAGCTTTAAATTACTTAGAAAATGAATTTTCCCATTCCCATTCCTTTGTTGAATGGTGCTTTTTTATAAGGTATACTATGAAAAATAAGGTCTTCTTGGCTTGATTTCATAAATAGCCATCAACATCGATACCTTAACCCATATATACAATATAAATGCAATATAATTTTATTTTTATACAACTTTAATAATAATCTTTCTCCTTCACTAGTAATAAGTTTCACTTAAGATTTAGAGGAAGCATTTTAAAACTTGAATAAGTAATTAACATGATTGCTTGACAGAACACTTTAGTTCTCTTTAATTCTGTATTAAATTAACACCTTTCCTTTCACCCCAAGTGGTAGTTTTGGTAATTCAATTACATAATGCACTTCTAAATTTAAATGCAAATGTTTGGTTATAGAGGAAGAAAATTCAATATTCCTTTTTGTAAAAGAAAAAACTATATTCTTAAAAGTTTCACCAGACTGGTTTTGCATTGCAAACATGAGGGTGAATCAAATGTATTTTTACTAAGGTTCAAATTCATACATGCATGAGTTCATTCCAAACAAAATGTTAAGCAGTTTCTGCAATCAGTGGATGGTTGCAAACAAATTCTCTCAATAAAAAGCTTGACTTTGTTTCATTAGGGTGACTTAAAAAATATCAAGCAAAACAATAGCTTCTGGGGGGACTGCTGCTGGACCAGATACATTCAAGGTAGAGAATGCAACTCAGAAGATTATAGCGACAGCTTGGGGGAATCCCAAAGAGGTAAGTATGACATTTTCTCAAAAGCCACAACACAATCACAGGGACTTATTATGAAGCCATTCACAACACAATCACAGGGACTTATTATGAAGCCATTCTAAGAAATCTGAGAACTATATTCATGGGGGAAAGGTCATTACTGGGAGGCCCTGCAGCCCTTAGCTTGACACCTTCAGATTCCTTTTTATTTCCAAAACCAGAGAACATTGAATGGAACACTATTTGAGTCTCTCGGGGAAGCCAAGACAGTTATTTGGAAGTGGAATAAATTAAAACCTGCAGAATTCTTTGGGTGAGAGTCATAGAGATGGGAACCCTGCCTTCAGAATACATAGACCTAGATGGAGGATATGTTAAGAACAACTGCTTCATTTGTTTGATATTTTTGTTTCCTAAAAGTTTCTGCTTTTATAGCAATACAGATTTTACTTATGTATGCTATATTAAGGGAAAGATTTTAATAGTCATAGATTTACTCAATGCATGTTATTTTTACACATCTGTCATACTTACTGATGAACACCGAGGACTTCCCAATCATGGCCAATATCCTGGGGTCCCATTAAGTTCTGCATTGTAACTGGGCATATTTCTATTAATTTGCATAAAAGTGACCAACCCACCTGAGGAAAAACAAGAAACCATTTTTAAGCATGTTATTGAAATATATTCAAACATGAATCTCTTCATTTTTACAGGCCATGTGACCAAATAATGTCTAAATAGCTCTTCTAAAGCAAAGCTGTAATTTAAAACAGTAAGAAACAAAGTGACCCATAAACTTAGAAATTATCTTTGTACAAAATCATACTAAAAAGCCATACAAAAGTATTACAACATTTCTGAATAATGAATTAGATAGATATGACTCTATCTAAGTTAAAATAATAATTGACCAAAATTAGGGACTTAGAAAAATGACTAATTGTAGTGGCTATATTAATTTAATATGTTTTAAATAACAGCTACATAACAGATCTTCTAAATATGTACAATTTTAATTATAGGAAAAACTGAAGTCTTTTTTGTAATGCAAAAAAGGAGTTAGAGACATTAGTGTCAAACATGTAAATTATTATTAGGAATTACTATTCCTAAGGTAAAAGAGCTAGAATAACTGTGACAAGGGAATGGTGGTTGTTTTTAACTGCCATCACATTCCCCTGACACGTGCTGTCTCACATGGGGACAGTGGTACACATTCACTAATTGATACTATGGAAGTAAATTTTAAGGCCTTTCTTCGAAGTCCATCTTCATCTGAGAGTTCTACTAAAGCCCATTTAGCATCAGCATCACGGCAACCTGCAAGATCCACTGAAAAACAGGTGGTGTCTGCTCATGAAGTCAATTGGCTGGGTAGCAAACCTAAGTTTCCCGCAATGCAAGGCTGAAATGCTACCACTCAATCACCAGGGTCACTTAACCAATAGTTACTGGAACTAGAGTAGACAGAGGAGGTACACTTCTGCAATAGAATCGTTTCTCTAGAAGATATAAATATGGGCTGATGAGTTCTAGAATATATTACATCCTCCCTTATCTTGCTTATTTTCTCAAATGAAATGCGATTGCCTTTTTCATATTTTCAGTTGGTCCATTTATACTTGTTGCCAATTTGAATGAGTTGATCTCTCCCACTGGGTGTAGGAGGAAGGGATATGAGCCTTTGTTCCCAAAGTGGAGATAAGATGTAACCCCCTGAGTTAGTTAATTGTGCCAACCTAGCAGATAATCACGTGGGGCTAATTGAAAGGCAGAGGGATAAATGGGTGGTGAGCCTCGCCTTTCTAGTTCTCAGGCCTCTTGCTTTGTGATGGTCGCATCAGGGTGCAGCTGCCTTAGCAGTTCCCTGCTTCAGCTTGCAAGATTGACTTCCTACAAGACATCCCCAAGGAGAAGCCACATGGGCCTATCCTGATGCAGCCCTGGGTGCTGGAGCAGCCGTGTGAAGACCCCTGCTAGTGCTGAGATGCTTGTTCGTTCACTGACTCAGCTTTCCTCCTGCAGTCGGCATCATTGCCTCTGTTTTGTGAGGTGGAGGACTTTGTGGACTGGTGCTGGGTTAATGGGTTAATGTTGGACTTGTGGGCTTGGGCAGCATTGGGTTGGGATGTTTTCATGATGCACATTTTCTTTACATAAAACTCTCTCTTAGACGTGAGTTGCTGTGGATTTGTTTCTCCAAAGTACCCAGACTAATACACCCCCTCTCTACATTGTATACTCTTTTCTAAATTTAATGAATCTTTCGTTCATTCTATTCTATCATAGAGCTATATTTGATAGAGACGGGAAAATATAAAAACAGAAAATTCATATCATACATATGTCTTATCTAAGATATGTCTAACTAAGTTTGAAGCTTATGAGTACCAACACAATATAAATCCTGAAGTGGTGATTTGTTGTGAGCTAGAATTACTCAGAGAATGACAATGTAAAAAGGTACATTTGAGCCACAGTTCAAAAACCTTACACATGTAAATTATAAATCTGATCACACGTAAGAAGGACATTGAACCTCTTAAGACACCTGATACACATGCAGCAATTGATCAATAAGGAAAACAGACGAAAAGAAGCCTTTGGGTGACGGCGCCAGTGCGGAGTGTTGACTCCATCATGTTCTACCAAAGAGCGAAGACATTTGCCTCAGAAGAAGCACGTTCATAATATTCCTTCAAAGGGAGGGTGGTGAAACTTTGTAGCCTTTACTTTGTGATGCTATCAGAAGCGGCCCATCCCTGGAGAAGGACACCGTAGCAGGTGTGAGTCAGTGAAACAGGGAAGACCTTCAACACAGTGGATCCATACCGTGGCTGCCAAAACACGCTGAACCATAGCAATGGCTGCGAGCGTGGTGCAGGTGGGGCAATGTTTTGTTCTGGGCGCGTGGGAGCACTAGGGTTAGAATCAATACAATGGTCCCTCACCACAACAGCAAAACTGATCACCGGGAGGGGAGTGAGACGTGAAATGGTCGGGGCTGACTGCCAGGCAGGATGGACACACACACACACACACGCGTCAGTGGAGTCGGAAGGGTGAGGGAAGTTACATGCCATGGTAAAGAACTGATGTCCACCTAATAGGGAACAGTGGCACCTAGTGCCGTGTACACCATTTGGTTATGGCCATGAGCAAGACGTAAGCAAGGGGTATGGTACCACGATAAAAGATTATTATGCAAGATATCTCTTCACAACATTATTTCTGGGTCTTTTCTCTACTGTGCATGAATTGCTTTACTTTGTCATAGCTTCCTTTTAAATAATTCTAAATTGCTTGAAAAGTGAACATCTGACAGCTATTTTCACCTTATATTTAAATAGGACCTCCTCCTCCACATAAGCTGAACAGCCATTGACAATTCAGCTGTCATAGAAACTGGCTATTTTGGTGCTTCCGTAAGATACATGGAGACTTCCCGCCACCCCCTCCCCTGTTTAAGAAAATAACATTGGAGGCTAAACTCTCTCAACCTGCAAGGCTGACTCAGGGAGGATACTTGTTTTCATAGTTGTTTGTGAAGCAATGCCATCCGTAATTGCCTTGCAAAGAAGTTTCAGGCAACTGAGCTTTCAGTCTATAAGGAGCTTCTATGATTAAATAGAATGTCTGGCAGCAAAGCAGAGATAACCATTGATCCATTCATCTATTTAATTAGGAGCTTATCTTTTCAAAAAGAAATTTCCATCCTGCATAATTATAATGCAACTAAACTGGTACTTTCATTTTATTACAATCATTCTGAAATTTCAAGCATTTAATAAAAGCTAAATGGGAAGGACTTTACTGTTAAAGATAACTTTAGTCACTTTTATTGATGTTGCTCCCCCCACCCCACTATAAAGCTTGATACTGTGTGGATAAATAAGACATATAATTGAGGTCCACAGATAGTAAGTTAAAATTGTCAGATGACTATCAGAGAAGAAACTTTCAGATGGCTAGTCTAACTAGCAATTCTCTAAAGACTGTCATATACTAAATAGCATTAATAAAAAATAATTCAGAATCTACAACGTGAGGTTAAATGACTTCTGAAAGTTTGGGGAGGGGGTTTGTTTTGCTTTTGAGAAATCATTTAACTTAACTTTGCAAGTTCATCCCCAAGAGTCTTTCATTCTGCACTTCCAAATAACTCAACAGCCAGAAATAACACAACCCATGAGGAGACAATTTGTAAAACAAACAAAAGATATTTTCTCTTTAGTTCAGTGTTGTCAAGATTATGATGAAAGGATACAGAGACCCCTTTAATAAGATGAGTGATTTTTAAAACTGACAAATGTTCTCATGCCTAACATGACCAGTAGGGTTGTACCTAACCATTGTGCTTTCTTACTAGCTGTCATGAAAATTCTTCAAGAATCAGCAGCAGTAATGGTATGATGAAAGAGATTTTAAAGGTCTGAGAAGACTTGAATTTAAATATCAGCTCTGTCACTAGCTGTCACTAGTCACTTCCTCTCTTTGCATTTCTAGTGAGGGATTTCATCCAGTGAAATTTGTAGAAGACAGTGGCATCAAATGATATGCCTGGTGCCCTTTGCAGACTTCCACGATGCTGTAGTAAACCATTCCATGATCAAGTGGAAGACAATTCCTTATTTTCCCACATATTTGGTCTGCTAGGGGATTGCATTGCACTCCTAGCTGCTACAGAAAAGAGAGCCTCAGCTTTGGACGTTTCTAAAGTGAAGAATCAGATGGTATTTACGCTTAGGTTCCCTTGGGATGTCAAATTATCATGTCCTTCTTTGGATCCTGTACACAAAAGCCCACCTAGAATCCTATCATCCTGGGTGGGTACTGAACAGGGTGACTCTACGAAGCACAGCCGCCAGGCCCAGTCACATGGACTCAGAGGCCTTGTGGGAATATGTGGGTGGCGAGCAGCAAGCACAATGGGCCAGGCCCTGAAACATGACTCATTTTCCATGAACGAGACTCAGACTTCCAGTGCTTAAAAGAACAAGCATCCTTATCATGCCTCCAGTTTTTCTTGGTTTTGTTTAATATTATTAGCCTGGAACTCAATAGTCTGATGGAGAATATTTTACAGTGGAAGAAAAATAATCAGAATTTTTTATTCCAGATATCAATGTTCTTATACAAAATAAGTTAAATATATGTTTACCCAGACGAGACATGGATGATACAGAGATACCAGTACACCATGTGATATGACACAAGTACATCAATAAAGAGTTAGAGAGAGAGAATTCTTTCTTCTGGGTAGCCTCTCAAGTAGAAAAACAAACATATTTCTGTGACTGCCCCTCCATGAAGTTCAAAATGAAATTCTGCTTCCATTTAGGACTGAGCTGTTTTCAGTTCCCCAAATCTCAAAGGGAAGTTATCACCTTAGGCAGTAATTTGTTTTTGACTGTAAATTATTCTTCATTATCATCTCAGGTTTCGCTGTTTGTAATATACCCGATATTTCACCGCTTTTTTAGTTCCTGATAACTCAGATTCTAAAAGATTCTGTCCTATGAAAATACTCACAAAATGTAAATTTAAATATGTAGAGGATCCTAAACCATACTTACTTGTACGAGAGACTACAAGGTAAAACTTGGGCTAAAAAGGCAATGAATCAATCTAACAGTCTTTAAACTAAAAAACTTTCACATCTCTGAACCCTGTGAGCTTCTGCCAATCATTTTGGTGTTTTAATAGTGTTAATTACTTCCCTTTCCAAACTATGAACGGTGATATCATAGCGAAGATACGGCTGTGTCTTGGTAAGGTCCTAAGAATAATTTGACCTACAGATGAACTCATCTAGCCAATAACAGAACTATATCCCTCAACCCACTATTATGGTGCCCAGCCCCATCCACGTCCTGCCAGTCAACTTTCCAAACTCACTTTTACATGACATTCAGGAATTCGAGTGAACACGTTTAGAGTGTTAACATCACAGATTTGACAAGGCTCCCATCTTTATCATCACGGTTACCAGCTCATCCAGCAGAATGGGAGAAGTTACCAGGAACTCCCTCGCTCGGGGTATATCATACTGAAGGACAGCATCCCTTTCCAAACAGAAAGGGGGAGTGGGCGGCGAGAGGACAAACGTCTTACCTGCTGCACACACGCCACTCTCATGTAGGAGTCCAGGACGATCAACAGAGGCACGTGGATATTTTTGCCTTGGAATAACTTGGAGGCTGGAAAAGAAGGGGGTGACGGGAAGCAAGCAAAGTCCATTACAAGTCAGTTACAGCAGCCCTTTTAAGTCCCAAGAGGAGACAGGGGGTGGGAGTGGGGGGGGTGCAGTGAGCTACCAACATTCCTGGACTTCTCTGCTCCTTTCCACCTGAAGGGGTAGGAGCCTGAGACTTGCCAGGAAATCTGGACGGCGCAGCCCCACGGGCACGGGCACGGGCACGGGCACGGGCCGAGGGCCGGGCAGAGTTTGGAAAGGAAGGGGTAGAGTCGAGTGGTGGTTACCGTGGTCGGTGTAGGTGAACACCAGCATGTCCTCCAGGATCTGGACCAGCGTCTCTATCTGCGTTCCTTCCTGGACATTGTTGAGCCTCACTAGCAACTTCTTCAGCGTTTCCTCGTCCTCCTCCTCGCACCCC